CCATAGAAGAAGAGTGGCAAAATATCCCTCAGGCATTCATTAATCTCTTGGTTGACAACATGCCACGGCCGGCGATGCCAAGAGGTTGTGAATGTGAGGAGAGGGTTTACTAACTATAACTTTGATTATCTGCCGTTCTTTATTAATTTTTTTAGTTTGCGTTGTTTATTACTCAACTTTTAGGTCACTTTGTTGTTGTTATTGAATCTTAGTTTGATTAGTTTTTCAGTTCACTTATTTTGATACGTTTTACCTAGGTATCTACCTAACTAAACTGAAAGTACTTCTTAACGCATTTAAAGTGGGGGAATTTCAGATGTTACCGGTTGACAACGGCGCGCGACGTTGCATGATTTGAATAAACATTTTCAAATAAATAACACGTGTCGATTCATATTGTTATTTCTAGCTGTCAGTGGTCTTGATAATTTATTATTACATTCTGGTAAATTATAAGGAAAAAAAAGGCATTGACAACATTGTCAGTCCTTGTTCTACGACGTTATCCTAAATATAACGTAAAAAACCTATAGGAACACTTTTTGTGTTTTGTTTTAAATCAATTTAAAGAAGCATTAACGTTGTTCATATAATTTTTTGTTTGGCAGATAACGTAATTTACCATCCTCAACTTTATTTTTTGATACTGCTACGATTAGTGGAAGAATTTTTAATTGAAATACCTTCAAACATGAAGCTACAAAGAAAATTAGCAGGTAATAAAAGTTCGGGTTTCCTCTCACCACAACGAAATCGGTTCCGAATATTTAAATTTTATCAATGGTATAAATAATTATTAGCACGCCACTGTACAGCATATCATTGAGGTATTCGAAATTTTTAATCATAAAAATAAGCTAATCGAAAGATATAACAATTGCTAATAAAATTGATTTAATGAAAAATAATAATTTCTGTTTGCACGCCACTGTACAGCATATCATTGAGGTATTCGATATTTTTAATCACAGTAAATACGCTGGCTGAAAGGTATGACAATTGCTAAAAAAAATCACCGGTAAGAACGATTCGGGATGGTTTAGAACGGAAAAGTTGAGAAAATTAATATGGTTATGTTAAATAAACAATATTTTGAAAACAAAGGCAAATATCAAAATTTTGAGAAATTGGTTTCTTAATAATACGTCAATGATTAAAGTGAACTAAACAAATGAAACTTCAAATGATTATTTTTAAAGTTATGCACCTTTGAATGTGAAATTCTGTGAGCCATTAATAAATAATTCCGAAAATGGCCGATTATTAGTACGCTACTGGACACGACATTATTTTAGTATTTTTTTTTCATTGAAAATAAACCAGGATATCGTGGGGTATATCAAACAGCAGCATAAGATGCATGATTTATTGTACAGGATGTTTCAGGTGCTTAAAAGTTGAAAAAAGTGGAGGTTATGAAAAAAAATCGATATTTTTAAAACTAAGGCAGGTATAAAAAATTTGAGAAATTACTTTTTTTGCAGAAGATCATGAGAGAGATGTTCCTTCTTGAGCATCAAAGAAACTACGGCAGAATTTGAGGGTAACAGAACAGCATGTTTTAGTTCATAAGGTAAATCTGAGTATGACAAACGTCCACCTACTCTGAGTAGGCCATCGGCATCAAGAAAAGGTGATAGTTGAAGCATGCATTTTCTCGCTATACATTTATTGGATTTCAATTGTTGGATTTCTTTAGAAAAGCTTTGTTCTTGCAGAACCTTGTCAATTACCCGTTGAGAATATTCAAGTTCTTCGACTTTAAGTGAGCCTATGAATTCCTTAGTTCCCTTCAAAATCTGAATAAAACGAAAAAGAAAGGCTATCGTTCTTTGGAGCTTCGCAAATGTGGAAAATTTAGAAAAAATGGAATTGCAAAAATCACTAACGGCATTCTCGTTTGAAACGTTGAAGACATTTGTCTTCACTCTTTCTTCAGGGATAATCTCAGCTGAATTATATTTTAGTTCAAACTCATTGAGGTCTAAATCAAAGGATTTCAGAAACCTTGGTCCATGGAACCAAAGTAATGAGTTCAAAAGTTCAGTAGGTTTCATGCCCCTGGACAAGAGACTTGCGGGATTATCTGCTGATTCAACGTGAAGCCAGCGATAATTTGAAGTCAGCTGCTGAATTTGTGAAAACCTGTTTGATACGAACACGGTCCATCTTGAGGGATGAGATCTGATCCAACATAAGGTAATTTGTGAATCGGAGTACAAGTTAATATTGCTAAATATGAATTTGTTATCGAACACAGCAACAATTTTTGTAGTAAGATTGGAAAGGAGGAGAGCTGCACAGAGCTCAAGACGAGGGATCGAAATAAACTTTATGGGTGCTACTCGGCTTTTGGCAGCAATCAGTTTAGAAGATACGTTTCCGTCAGTATAAACAGCTCGAATGTAGATGCAGGCTCCATAGGCCTTCAAGCTCGCATCACAAAATCCGTGTATTTCAAGTTTCTGAACCTTACAATCAGACAGTAAATGTCTGGGTATTTTTAAATAGGCAAGTTGAGAAATTGCAGAAGCAAATTCTGTTCATGCTAATTGAAGTTCTTGGTTCAGACTACTGTCCCACTCAATTTTGGCTATCCATATCCTTTGCATAATAATCTTTGCGACTATAATGACTGGAGCAACAAACCCTAATGGGTCGAACAGCTGAGCTATTTGCGATAAGACTTCCCTTTTTGCGGGGTTCGTGGTCGTGAGGACCTTTGGCAGCGTAACAGCAAACTGGTCAGTATTGGAATTCCAAGAAATACCTAATACTTTATTGAAAGTTTCGTCACATCTTATCTCGAAGTCTTCAGGTTGTATAGTAGGTTCAATTTTAAGGAAGATTTTAAGAAAATCGTTATTGTTTGAGGACCATATTGGCTGGTTGCATAACTGCGATGAGTTGATTATAAATTTCTTGTAATTCTCCAAGAGAATCACTGGTAGCTAGAACATCATCCACATAGGTTTGATGTTCAAGAACGTGAGCCGCTAAGGGAAAGTTTTGCTTCGAATAGCTATTTCCTTTACAACACGAGTTGCAAGGAAGGGTGTGCCATAAATAACTGTAAGAAGTTCTATGCATTTCAGAGGTTGGTTTGGGGTTTCGCGCCACAATATATTCTGCAGGAAAGTCATCGAAGGAGAAATTCGAATGCAACGAAACATTTTGACTATATCGCAGGTGAGAACAAATCTCGTCATCCTAAACCTAATAAGAATGTCAAATAATTCTGGCTGAATTTGATAGCCTTTAAGCATGATGTCATTCAGGGAGGTTCCTGTTGATGTCTTCAACTTTGATCACGCAAAACACAGTGATGTGGCGGGAAATATTTGTTTTGGCCATGTTTATTGAATAGTTCAAGGGGTACATATTTAGCGTGTCCTAAGAGGATGTATTCGTTAATAAATTATTTTAATCTTTCAAAAAGAATTGGATTTTTTTCAAAACGTTTTTCCAAATTAAGAAATCTTTTTGCCGTATTATATGAGTCTCCAAGTTTTAACTGCTCCTTAGGACTTTTTAGAGGTAGTTTGACCTCAAATGATCCGTCAGGTAAGTTTATAGTTGACTCGCAAAATATTTTTTCAGCTAATTCATCCTCAGGTGAAAGACATCTACCTGTATAACAGATTTCTTCTTGAGTCCAAAATCTTTGAATTAAAGAGTCTAATGAAATGTGTGTGAGCAATTTGATTTCGGGATATTCAGGGATATTATTATACAAAATAAGTTGTTTGGGTATAGGACCGCCAATTACATAGCCTAAATGGGTATCGATGAGTGTCAATAGGTTGCCTTGTACTCGGAGCAAACCACCAGTTAGCAATTGATAATAACCATCAGCTACAAGAAGCAGCTCTATATTACAGGGTATGGAAAATTGAGGATCTGCTAGTTTTACATCACTAGGAATTGAAATTAAATCTCGTTTTAGAGGAAGGGAAGGTAAACGGTTTGTAATTGTGTTGAGAACAACACAGGTGACATCAAATTTTAGATGTTTCTTAACATTAGAATAGAATGTCAATTTGACAATGCTACTGGACTGTGTCGCAGTGTTACCAACACAATTTATTTCTATGATTCTAATTTCAGGAGTTAACTTCAAGAATTTAACGAGGTTATCGGTTATTAATGAAATGCTAGAACCTGGAACATGGATCCAACAGGGCCTTTACGTTAGAAGCCTTGCCCTTTATATCGAAAACAACAACTAGAGCTGTGGCTAGCAGTGTTTCACCACTTAATGCCAGTGATGAACATACTGGGTACCGCAGAGCACCTGCTCTGCGAATGCCGAGCCCAATTCTGCAAGAGGCTCAAATTCCTCGAGGGGGCAACACTGTCACCAGAAGAAGTGGGTCACTGACACTCAGGAAAATAGCTTCCTTCGGCAGAAGTCTACGCTTCCTGGAGACAAATTAAGATGTAGAGTCACGAACAAAATATCTGCAAAGGTAGCAGTGCTGAGCAGCTGAAAAGCCGAAACGACTCCTCCGAAATCTACAATCTACAATCTCTACTGGGTACGATGTATTATTAGTTTCTAGTCATGATGAATGCCTGAAACCAGTCGGTGGGTTGTTTTGAGGAATTGTTGACGGTTGTCTGTTGAAAGTATGAAAGTTTTTTTGTTGTGACTGATTATCAGTGTTCGAGGAGTTAGAATATTGCGTAGAACGTTGTGTTGAGGTTGCAGGATTTTGTTGATTTGTTGCTAATTCAGGTGCTCTATTGGAAGGATGGTTCGAAGAATGAAGCAGGGTGTGATGTTTATTTTCAGCTATTGTGCAGCTACGCGAGGTGCATTGATCAGTTGAATGGTTTGGATTGAGGCAATTAAAACAAAGTTTTTTAGCTCTTAAAAAAGAATATTTGTCTGATCGGGATAAAGAGAGGAATTTCTGACATCTATAAATTTTATGACCAGAAATATTACAAAAAACACAATTTATATTGTTTGGAATTTTGTTATTTTTCGAAGTGTTTTAAGTAATGTAATCCCATTGGTCTTCATTGACGCCGAGATTTTTTAGACCTTCCATATTTTGTTTTAAAAAGGTGACCAATTCTCTCAAAGATGTTGAATTGCCTTTGCTTGTTGAAGGTGCTTCTATCAAGTTTTTAATATAGGCATAAATTATATTGAGTTCGTTATCGTATCTGCCCTTTAGAATGTTGAGTGCTACATTGAAATTGTCCCCAGCCAGTTGTAGATTGAAAATAAGGCCCTTTAAATAGCTTTTAAGATATATCAGTTTCCCTATATTAGATAAACTTGTGTCATTTTCGATAAAATTTTTAAATAATTCATAAAAGCCATGCCAAGTGGTAATATCTCGGGAAAAGACAGGAATATTAAGCTGCAGTCGCTGTATGTGAGATATTGTCGGGTTAGTTACTGCAACAGGTGAATCATTTTTTAAATAATCGGTTTTAGGTTTTAATTTGGACGAGATGTCATAGTATGCATCCTCACACATGCCTCTTTCTATTTCATCAGTTACATCATTCGTTTGATCATTTTTTTCCTGTATTTGACAAAACTTTTCAAAAGCTAAATCGACTGCATATAATCGAGTTTCGAATTGTTGAACTTCAGTAACTAAATCTACATTTCTGTTAAACCAATCCTGAATTCTTGTAAACCTGCTCTTAGCAGCGCCTCTCAGTCTAATTAGGGATTCCATTTTTAATAAAAAAGATTGAAGGCCGAAATTTAAAGAATCAAAATTGTTTTTCCAATTTTTCTTAAAGAAAGAGATAAAAAAGTTAGGTAGGTACTAAAATGTTTGAATAAGGACACAATGCCAAGGTAAAAATCACAAAAAAAGTTAAAAAGGTTTCACAAAAAAGCTATAAAAGAATTGAAGCTAAAGAAAAGATAGATAGATACAATTTCCAGAGACCTCTACAAAGTAAAATGTTCCACAAAGGCAACAAATAAAATTTTCAACAATTACAACAATTTAAAAATAATTGTATAAGCGTTAAAGTTATATTTAAAGGTACAATATCAATATCTCGAGTATCAAAGTTGAAAAGTTAAGATAAGTACCAGTGAAGATTGCCACGAGGCGATTGTTCCACAAGGAACTCAAGTTCAGTTTTCTTGCCACAAGGCTTACCTAGGTATTTTTAGCTGCGGCCAAGCTCCCTGCCGCTAATGACTTATAAAAAAATCACAGAAAGATCACTCGAGAAATCACTTATTATTCTTGGATTTTTGCTACACGCACAAAGGGTCAAATATCAAGTTAACTTTAAATGTTGAAGAAGCACTGAATTTTTATGTTTTTGCAGGTGATAATTAATGGTAATTGGTTATCTCCTACCTTAGTTTTCTGCTGTAAGTACTGGTATGGTACCTGATGATGACTGGTGTGAAATGTAGATGGAAAATTGCACTGTCGAAAGCATTAACCTCCAAAGCCACAACTGCATCCATTTGCCAGTTCTTTGTCTTAGAATCTGGCTCGAAGTACCAACTTTATGTTGGGGTTACCTAAATAATGTTTGTCGACTGTAATTTTACTCTTTATCCACTTTACAAACAACCTTCGTTAATAATCACTACTCACTACTTATGAAACTAAAATAAATTGAAAAAGTAAGCTTTGGCCTTGTACGGCATGAAACTCAGAACTTTATATTAGAAAATTCAAATGAAATAAATGAAATTAGAAAAAGCTTGTGTGAGGATTGTGAGGAAAAAAATCTGGCTCTCAAAAAAGCAATTTAGTAGTAGATGTGGATGTATTATAATAAGTTAAGAAATATATTTAGAATTAAGTAGAGTAAATTAGTAACATAAGGTATATAATAATGTATAATATCTAATTAGGTTAATAATGTCCTGCGTCAGACATGTTATGATGATAGGATAATTATTGTTATACTAATATATTTATTATTATAAACTTATACTAAATTTGGGGAATAAATAGAATAGAATAGAATGATTTTTGGTTCGAAACGAAACTAGTCTTGAATTATTGAACTTGCCCCAAGTCCCGATATATTACATGGCGATCCTGCCGAAAAACAGGCAAAAATTGGCAAAAACGAATGGGAAATCCTAGAGCTTCTTGGGGAAAAGAAAAAACATGGAAAACACGGCTAAATAAAATTGGAAAAACCAGGAAGTCTAAATTGGGAACGATAAATCGAAATCCAAAGAAGAAATTATCATAGCGCAAGCTGGCAATAGTGGTGGCTAGACGACAGAGACGTCCTTTGGAGCAGCAAAAGAGGTACTTACAATTGGAGTTTTGTTTTTAGCTATGGTGTGCATGGTTGCTTTCTGTTTCTGTCATTATAAGAAATTGTTGAAGAGGAAAATTAGAGCAGAAATAGCAAAAAGCAGGGAGCAAATCTAAGTAATTATTGGAATGGAATGTCAGTACCAGACGAATTTATTTGCTCATTGGAAGAAGCCTGAGTATTCTATAGAAATTTAAATAAAGACGGTTTGGAAAGAAGGAAAAGTGCAAAGTATATTAATAATTAAGGTAGAGAAGTTAGATAAGATTAGGTCAGAGCTAGGGACTTATAGGCACAATTTTAATTTAGGCCAGCTTGACCCTAAAATAATCTCATTAGTTAAGGAGTATGTAAAAGAAATAGAGAAGGTTTTGAAATTAAGCCAGAATACGTTAGATTCTCGCTTATTAGCTTTAAAAGAAGTTGATGAGTCAGGAGCCAATCAAACCGATTCCTCCGGGTCTGAGAATGACTTTTTTTCCGAGTGAGCAGGTAGAGTTACCTAAGTCAGAAAAAATGGGTGAAAAGTTTGATTTAAAAACGGCGTCAAGCCTATTTCCCGTGATGAACGGTTCCGAATTTATCGCTAAAAAGTTAATCGACTCTATTGAATGGTATGATGCACTCTTGGATCAGGCAGGGAAAAGGTTATTAACTACATGTGCTGAAAACACGTCTGTCTGAGGGGGCAAAGTTAAGGATAAAGTCGGCGTATGCTAGTAACGATATTTTAATTCAGGATATAAAGTAAAATTTCATTTCAAAAAAATCTTCGGCAGTCCTGTCTGTAAAGCTTAATTCAGCTAAACAACGCGGAAAATCTGTAGAAGAGTTTGGTAAATCGATTGAGGAGATGTTGGTCGATCTAACAATTTCGCAGGCAAATGGTGACGCTGGCACTGCTGAAATTCTTAGGCCGATCAATGAACAAATCGCGATTAATTCTTTTGCAAACGGGTTGCAAAGCAACGATTTGCGAACTATAATTAAGTCTCGAAATTTTCAGTCCCTGAGCGAAGCTATTAGGGGTGCAATGAATGAAGAGTTCACACATTATACACCTAAACCTTTCTTTCACATGCGAGGAAATAATAGAATTTTTCGGGGACAAGCAAATTTTGGTGGACAAGTTAGGCACCGAGGGGCACCACCACAACGCTTTAATCCTAGGGGCAGCTACGGCAACCGCGGCAATGCGGGTAGTGGCCAGTTTCGCAGAAATTTTAGTACACAGGGGTACAATAATAATCAGCCCAGTTACTCAAGGGGAAATTTTAATGCGGGTAAAAATTTCCTTAGAAATAGTGAAAGTAGGGGTAGAAATTATTTTCTGAGTAGTGGCGAACGCCCACATTCAAATAATACCGAGAATAAAGATACATCAGCAGACATGTTTTTTCGGGCCTCACGCACAATATATAGCAAACATAAATGGGTTGAATTATATCAATGCTAAGTATGAAAATAAAAATTTAAAGCTTCTAATCGACACAGGAGTATCTATCAGTGTCCTATTTAAAAATCGTGTTGACAAACTTAAAAATGTAAATTACTCGAAACAAATTAAAATACATGGAATTTCAGGGTCAACGGTTTCGCAAGGTTGCGTGAGCCTCAAATTGGAATTAAATGGTAACATAGAAGTGTGCCACCATATTTTGCTGATAGATTCTTTTGATGATGATTTTAATGAGGTATTAGGTTCGGATTTTTTTATGCACTACTCAACAAAAATTGATTTTGAGAAATTTATTTTTTCTTTTTGGATGAATAATGAAAAAATATGTATACCGATGAGGTCAAAACATGAACAAATTGTATCTATTCCTGCAAGGTGCGAAATAATTAAATACTTTGACATATGTATGCAATAATGAAGATTGCATTGTCTTGCCAGAATAGATATCCGAAAGAGTTTTTGTGGCTAGCGCCGTAGCTAGACCAAAGCTCAATAAGATTCCTGTTCGAATTTTGAATGTGCGTGAACATGATGTACTGTTAAAGAATTTTACACCAAAAACGAGGTCACTTAGTGAGTACGAAATCTGCAGTTTCAGCACTACAGACAAAACTGTTGATAGAATAGATGCAATTTTAAGCATGTTGAAACTTGATCACTTACAGCGGTCCGAGAAGTATTCAATTTAAAGTATTTGTTCTAAATATTCAGATTTTTTTACTTAGACTAGGTCAGGAGCGTCAAGTCCATCAAAATAATTATAAAATGGAAAATATTTATTAGGTGTTGTACAAAAAACAGCATAATTTTTGATTTAAATGTACATTATACATTAAATGTGAGAGTGAGATAAGTTGTATAGATGTTATTTTAGTGAAGAAATTTCAAATGCGATGGATGGAGTTGGTGACTAATTATTTTTGTATGGTATATCATAATGATTTTAAATCGATCACATTTCTTGAATGTACGGAGTGCGTATGTCTACTTATCTCATTCTGTTTTATGGAACTCGTAGGTATACATTTTTCGAAGTGGTTTAATTAAAACAGAATAATCATAACCATAAGCAAGGTGTTATTATAAACCGAGTTATTTACTATTTATGTGCTGTGGTATAATACGAGATATCGAGTCTTAAATTTTTTTTTACATTTTCATGAAGTTCCTTTTTTTTATTAGGCCAGTTATTGAAGTCTACTCGATCAACATTTTACTGCAAACAATCGAAAATATTTTTTTTTTTAAAGATTTTAAATTCAATTGCTCAGTTATTCAACTTACATTTTTTGTTTGTAGCTACGTGGTAGACATAAATTTTAAATGTGATCAAAGTAGTTGATGAATTATTACTTTTGCGGTACATCGTAATGACTTTAAATCGATCTTATTTTTTGAATATACGGTGTGCATATGTCCAGTGCATCTTATTCTATTTTATGGAACTCGTAAGAATCCAAAATTTAAAGAGTGCTAAGTCTTCATGTCGTTCTTCGTTATTTTCAATCATTTATGTTTATCGTGTTCAGGTTTTTGTCTTGTGATCTTCAAATATCTTGTAAATAAGTTGTAAAGATCTTCTGAAATCACCTATGACTGCAAAATTTCAAAATTAAATTATCAAAAAAACAATTCTTTAAAAACATGGTTTTTGAAAACACTATTGCTTCTTTGTTTCCCTGAATAAACTTTCAATGAGTCCCACGAACGAACTCTGAAAAGCGCCACATAAAGTTGTCCGTGACTAAATACATCCTTTCTGGAGATCAATTACTATCCTATCAAATGTTTGTCCTTGAGATTTGTTAATCGTCATTCATTGCAAAGGCTAATTTTATTTTAAAATTGTCTTCGTTTGAACGTAAAGGGGTAGACGTTTTCGCAGTAGAGTGTTATTCGATTTATCAACACTATTTCTCCCTGTTTATCTACAGTCAATATCTCACAGCGTAACAGATTATCCCCAAG